CCCCTATGACAACACTCACTGAGCCGTGAACCAAACCCACCCCTTCCAGATGCGATTCAGGCACCATCTCTTCTTCGTCTGATCCATGCCTCCTTCTGTGCTCCTGTATTCTAGGACATCCCCCCACAGTTTGTTGAACAGATCTATTTGTCCCATTCCTCTCCCTACTCCCCCAAATGGCCCCTGAACTTGTGGAGGCAGGAATCCTGTCATCAATCTCTGTATTCTCAGCGACTGTTACAATGGTTGGGCATAACTGCTCAGTAAGTACTTGTCAAGTGGCTGAAAGAGTAAATGAATGATGAGCCAATCAACAAATGAGATGGATGTGTGTTTGCCCAGCAATGAGGTATGTACTCCATTTAGAGAGACAAAAGCTGCGAGTGTTATAATTGGCAGATAATAGATTTAGCATTAAGCCAAGAATACAAACTTTATGAATGTATACCCATCCATCAGTTATTGTCATCCACACTCAGGAACAAACATAGATGCCAAAGAGGCCAAGATATGATGTCATATGTCTATATTGTGTCTTGGAGGTTAGCATGATATATCCAGGAGTGGAGCAATGTCATAGACATTTAAATTGTATTATTCTTCCTTTTTCTGAGTATATTAAGCTGTCTATATATTCAAGAAGTTATGACCCCTAGGTTAATAATAAGAAAATTGCTACCGGGGTATCATTTCATGGATGAATGAATCAGGGGCTCCCTTCTTTTTCTCAATTATGTTGCCTGGACCACAGGAACACTGGGTCAGTTTAACTTGTCAAAACTTAATATATTAAGTTGGGCGTGGTGGCTCATGCCTATAATCCCAGCAGCTCCAGAGGCTGAGGAAGGAGGATCCCAAGTTTGGGGCCAGCCTCAGCTACTTAGCAAGGCCCTAAGCAAGTTATCGAGACCCTGTCTTAAAATAATAAATACAAAGGTCTGGGGATGTGACTCAGTGGCCCTGGGTTCAATCCCTAGCACCAAAACGACAACAACAAACTTGATATATACATACAGAGGAGGAACATGTTATAAGTTACAGGTCCATGGATTTTAATAAGGTAAATATAGTACCAAGCCTATATTCAAAAAAATGGAATATTTTCAGCAGCCAAAAAGCCCCTCTCTTCTCTCCTTCCAGACACTGTCCTCTCTCCAGGGTAACCATTATCCTAACTAATAACAACACAGTTTAGTTTTGCTTGTTTTGTATTTTACATTTATGGACTGATCAATAATGAACAGTTCTAGCCTCCCAAACTCCAGTGATCTTTGACTTCTGTTATTCATGCCACTTTATAGTCTCTTTCCACACTGTTGGTCTGTGGGATCTATAGAACAGAACCTATGGATGGTAATTCACTTCCAAGGCTAGGTCATAAAAGCACTGAGTCTTCCTCCTTGTTCTCTCCTGATCACTTTTTCTGGGGGAAGCAAGATGCCATGTTATGAGGACACAGGCCGCTCATGGATAGAACCACATGGCAAGGAACGGCCTCCTGCCAATAGCCTTGTGAATGAGCATCTTAGAAAGGGACCCTGTGGTCCCAATCAAGCCTTCAGATGTCTGCAATGCCTGCCAACATTCTGACCACACACTCTGAGAAAAATTAAAGCCAGAACTATCCATCTAAGTCACTCACAAATTCCTCACCCACAGAAACCATAAGATAATGAATGTCTAGTCACTATGTTTGGGGGTAATTTGTTGTGTATCAATAGGTAATTAATACTGCTTTCTTTGTTTCTGATCTTGTTCTGTCATTATACTTGTGGGATATATCCACATCCATAATGTCACAAGAGTTGTAGACTATCCTTTTTCATTGATGAGTGGAGTTTTATTATATGACTATAACATTTTAAATTTATCTGATGGATACTTAGATTGTTTTTAGTTTGTGGCTGCTATGAATATCCCTATACATGTGTTTCAGTGAAAGTATTCACGTAACTGGATATTACTTAAGCGTGGAATTTCTGGGTCACAGCTAGATATATGACTTAGTAGATACTGCTAGAGAATTTTCCAAAGTGATTTTGCTAATTTACATTTCCTCCAGCACACATAGAGTTCCAATTGCTCCACATCCTCACTAACACTTTCTGATGTCATCTCTTTAATTTCAACCATTCGGCAGGCCAACGTAACTCTGAAAGAAGAGACTCAAACAGGGAATCACCTCTTTCCCTCACCCTTCATAATTCTGAAGGTTGCAATGACCCCACTTTCTCCCAAATCTCAGTTTTCTTGCAGATTGTACCATTTGCCTTCACTATGGTCCAGGTTTAGCAATGTCAGTCTGCCAGCAGTTGTTTCTTCTGCTCTACCTCCCTGCAAACAAAGTTCTTTAACTCAATGATACAGATCATTATGTCCTGGGAGAAAGATGAACAGCAATGGAGATCAAGTTCAATTTAAAAACAGGTTGTCAGAGCTGGAAGGAAAAAGGAAAAGGGAAAAAAATTCTGAGATTAAGAAATAATTGCCAACCTTGGAGCCTACACACTGGACTTATTTAACATGCTCTTCCAGGCCCAGTCCTGGCAGGATTTAACCTTCTCATTCCTGAGTAGAAGCTGGTCTACTCAGGAATGGACTATCTCTATCAGCTCTGGGCTATCTTGTTTCCATTGTAATCTGCCAAATGAGAGGTCATCACCTACATGTATTTATTTCATCAGTAACTATCGAGTGCTTGCTATGTGCAAAATTCTGGATGAAGGAAGGAGATGCAGTGGTGCCTTGGTAGTTTATATACAGGTAGAATGACAACAACACTTAGAGGCTGCAATATGCCAGTCAATCACATTATCTGTCAGTGAATTACGAGGAAGAGCATATTCACAGTACTACAGTACAGAATGAGCTTGGAGGGTTCCCAAATATACTAGAAGGAATAATGATTTTGTAATTATAAAAAAAAGTGCTAGTCTTGCTGAAACAGCATCAAATTGGCTATATAAATTGTAAATATATGCCATAGTTTTAGTTGTTCTGTGCTTTTACAGGGAGAGGTACTATACCACCTTTATGTAATATTTTCCCCACTTCTTACATTTTCTAATTAAGTGGAAGGATTTTGGGATTGTCTGTTAGGTGACCCAATTTGGACTAGAATAGTTAGTGGATATTTAATAGCACTACACAGAGAATCCATATTTCTACAGAATAGAAGATCCTTCCCAACTTAGAATCAATTGAAAGCCCGCAGTAGTCTTCCCATCAAAAGGAGTAGAAATAAAATTCTCCCAATGGTGGCCATAACTCAGAGGAAGCCAACAGAAAGAGAAAGCTGAGAGGTTGCATTGTTAGCAAAGCTATTGCCAAATTGAAGGGCACGACTCTCCACACTACCATGGTGGATAGAATTCTGTTACCTAAATATTTTAAAACTATGAATAGCTTCCAATGCACACACAAATGTAGATTTCTCTACAATTTTCAGGAGGAAGCTCTAAGACTGCAAGTGAGTGGCTGACAAAGAATAGCAAAAGATGTAAAGAACTTGGATGACTGGCTATGTCTGGGAAGAAATAAAATTTAGCTCAATCACACAAAGAGTATAGGAAATAGTTGTTTCTCCAGGCTTACGTTACCTGAACAGTGAATTATATGCAGGGTTCATTAGGAAAAGATGTTAACACCTCTTGGACTTTTAGAAAACAATCCTTACATAGTCAGGATGGCATGATTGCTATTTATTGATTGTGTTTATTTTCTGTTGCTATATAACAAATTACCTCAATCTTAATGGCTTAAAACAATGCCCACCTATGAGTTCAGAGTCTGTATGTCAGAGCCCAGGCACAGTGTGACTAGGTTTCCTACTTAGCATTTTACAAGACTGAAATTCAGATGTTTACTGTGATGTATTCCCTTCTAGAAGTTCTGTGGAAGAATCTTTTCCAGGTTCATTCTTACTGTCAGCTGATTCAATTCCTCGTCCGTTGTAGGACTGGGGTTCCTCTTTGCTTATTATCTGTCAGCTGCCCTCAGAAACTAAAGATCTCCTGCATTCCTTCCAACATGGTCCTCTCCATCTTTAAAGCTAGCAATGACATGTTGAATCCTTTTTGTTCTTTGAATCTGTCTGACTTCCCTGTCTCTGACCTCAAGACTCAGATATAAAGCTCCTGTGATTAAATCACTCCTGCCCAGATTATCTTCTTATAAGGGCAACAGATTTGTGGCCTTAATTACATCTGCAAAATATCTTCACTGCAACACTGAAGTTTGAAAGTATTTGTATACCAGGGCAAACAATTGGGTGTGTGTGTGTGGGAATAATCTTAGAATTTTCCAACAACACTGGCTTTCAATTTTAGAATCTACCTTAGATTCTAGGCCAGTAGCTTTCACCAGGATGAGGAGTGATTTTGATCCCTTTACCCAGGGAATATTTGCAATATCTGGAGATATTTTCGGATGCCATCTAGTAAGCAGAGGCCAGATGTACTGCTAATTTATCTACACTAAATACGAGCGTTCCCACAACAATTATCCAGCCAAGATATCAATAGTTCCAGGGTTGGGAAACACTACTTTAAACAAAGCAGGAAAGCCTTTATTATTATAATACAGTTAGTTGCCAACCTCAGCCACGTAAAGGTACAAGTAGAGCTGATGCAGCACAAGGTGGAATGTGGGAGGATTGCAAGAAAAGGAAAGGAGAACAGGATATAAGCTACACCTTACACAAAGAGGCAATGGACTAATGAATGGAAGGAAGGTAAAATATTCAGAGTTACAAATAATAATCATTAAGCTATCAAGCACTAAGATGAGGAGGAAGAGAGGAAGGGAAGCATGGAGTAATAAGTAGGCAATAAATATTGCCCAACCTTGATAAATAAATGATACTCTAAGCATTTCATCTGAAATGATGGAGCCAACCATCAAACAAACTAAAACTTTTAAAAGGGTTAAAACAAGTTGCCTCAAAATATCAAGTCTAGGAATAGGAATGATAGAGTGGAAATATGCTTTTTTTTTGTTACAAATTCTGCTATCCGTTTGATTTTTTTTCATGACACACCTAATAAAAATGTAATTAATGTTAAACATGTAATTTTAATACAGTGTAATAAGAATGCAATTTTAAAAAAGAAAACTTAGAGTGTTAACCTGGGTCATTTAATCGTAATACAGTATTTCAGGATAGTAACAGTATTTACTCAGCACAATAATAATACACAATGCAGTAACAGTGACACAATAATGTTTTAGTAAGCATATATGTTAACCTGTAAGTTGGAATTTTTAAAATTCTAGTCTCTTGTGCACACAGTCCTCAGACAAAGGTTCAGTCATTTGCAACATAAAATCAGCATGTTTTCTGTTGCTGTAACAAATACTGGAGATAAATCAACTTAAAAGGAGGAAAGGTTTACTTTGGCCTGATTTGGGGAGTTTCCAGTCCATGCTCAGTTGGTCTATTGCTTTGTGCCTGTGATAAGGCAGCACACCACAGTACGTGGTGGAGAAGGCTGTTTTCCTCTTGGAGGTAGGGAAGCAAAGAGAAGGAGGAAGGGACAGGAGTTCCAATATCTCCTTCAAGGTCACACCCCCAGTGACTTAATATCCTTCCACTAGGACCCACCCACTGAAGGTTTCATCACTCTCAATAGAGGGTTGGAGACAAAGACCTCAACATATGGCTTTTTGAGGACACTTATCCAAACCATAGCAATCTGTTTTTTAAATATATCCAATAACTAAGTATGGTGGTGCACACCTGTGATCCGGATACTTGGGAGGCTGAGGAAGGAGGATCACAGGTTTACATCCAGCCTGGCAACTTAGCAAGACCTGTCTCAAAATAAAAAAAAAATTAAAAAAAAAAGAGTTGGGAATATAGCTGAGTGGTAGAGCACTTGCCTACCATGTGTAAGATTCTGGATTCAATTTCCAGTACTGAAAAAATTATCTATCTATTTATCTACCTACTTACTTACCTACCTATTTATCTAATCATATAAACTACTGTTATTTATAGATACCCCAACATTGTGTAGACTTATAGATCTGGACTAGAAATCAAGACCAAATGAAAATACCTTAAATTGTTGGTTGAAAAGATTAGACACCATTTTTTTTCTTTTTTCCTTCATGTTGGTTATTGTGATTAATTTAAAACTCGTGACTTAAGTTACTCTTTGTCTGGTCGGTGGCGGTGACTTAGAACAAAGCAGACCGCCAGGGAAAGAAACATCAATCAGGTGCCAACGGACAATCAGCAGGACTAACGCCTGTCAATCATCAGGATGATGATGGGGTTGAGAGCAAGGTTGCTGTAATAACACTGCCCCGGGCCAGTCAGTAGGCAGGCCCAGGACACCCAGGACACAAGATGCCTGATACAGCAGCTCCAGCTCTCTAATGGCTGTTTGTGACAACTGGGCTATAAGTATATTCCCTGCCAAAAAAGGAGTGGCACAATGGGAATCAACTTACAAGGTGATGGAAAAGTGAGTGAGGAGGGGGAAAATGACTTAAGGTATAAAAATCACTGCACAGGAGGAAACTCTGGACTCCTAACAATGGAGTACTGGGGAGTCAAGCAGAGTTCCCGCCCCCCAGCATCAGAATTTATCAATCCAAATGGCAATAGCTACTCAAACTGGCATTTTAAAGTACTCTTCAGGCCTGGGGTGTAACTCAGTGGAGGGCGTTTGTGTAGTATGCCCTGGGTCTGAACTCCAGACTCTCTCTCTCTCTTACATACACACACACACACACACACACAAATAAAAATAAAGTACTATTCAGAATATACTTTTCTATTTAGAAAACAAACACCAATGTTTATAAAGTCTAAATGACATAATAAGTACAGAAATTCACATAGGAAACTTATACCAAAAATTATAAATCCAAACCTGATCTTAAGGAAGCAACCAGATAAACCCAGAACACGAAACAGAGGCTGGTTTAGAGTCTTTTTTAAAAGTTCATACCATCCAGGTGTGGTGGCACACACCTGTAATCCCAGCAGAGGCTGAGGCAAGAGGACACAAGTTTGGGGTCAGCCTCAGCAATTTAGTGAGATCCTGTCTCAAAATAAAATAAAAAGGGCTGAGGATGTAGCTCAGAGATGGAGCACTCCTGGGTTCAATACTCAGTACCAAAAAAAAAAAAAAAAATCTATGCCATGAAGAAATAAAGGGGGACAAAATAGAGGGATTTCCTTAGATTGAAAGATAATAATAATAATAATAATAACAACAACAACAACAATTAATTGCAGTATGTGAAACTTTTGAAACTTAATTGATTCCTGGATTTAAAAAAAACTACATTAAATGATCAGGGGAAATTTGAATATGGAATATATATATATAGATATAGATATAGATATATAGATATATAAATTCATGTGCATACTCATAAATATGATGAAATTATTAATTTTTGGTATAAAAACTAATATTGTAATTAAAAAAAATAGGATATATCTTTATTCATGTGGATGCCAAGTTATAACATTAAAAAGAAATTAGGAGTGGAGGATAGCTATGATTTAAATGTGTCCCCCAAAAGTTCATGTGTTGGAAATTTGATGCTCAGATTCATGTGCTGATAAATATCAGACGAGGTCTTTGGGAGGTATAGTATAATGCAGCAAAAAAGTCTTCCAGATACTAAGAGGTATTGTCAGAATTCCTAGTCTCCAGAATCCTAAGCCAAATAAACTTTTTAAAATTCTTTAGACATTAGCTGGTCTCAAGTATTTTATTATAGTAACAGGAATATGGACTAAAACAAGAGTTATGATGTTTGCAACTTCTTTTTAAATGATTTATCAAAAAGTTACATATTTATATAATATTTCATATATACACAAAGAAAGAAAGAACAGAGAGAAACCAAGTGTGGCAACATATTAACAATGATTAATCTAGGTGAAGGTTATACAGGTGTTCCTTGTACATTCTTTCAACTACTCTGTAGGTTAAGAAAACTTTATAATAAAAAAGTTGTAGAAATTATATCTGTATGCTCCTCTTCACATGTCATATGAAGATGAGTGTTAAATTTTCATTTCATTTTTTTTGGTTAGTGTATTACTGGCTACCTTTCCATACCATGCAGTGGTTCATTTACAAAAAGAACAACATTTTGTTTTGCACTGTATGCTTTCCATAAGAAAAATTCAGATGATAAATTTATAACCAACCACAGCCAAGCGCCTTGAGGAATCCCCTATGTGGAAACATCTGCAAACTCTGTGATGAGGAGTTCAGAGGCCACGTGCTTCCTGTTTACCCCTGTGCACCACTTTGCCTTTCCTCCGGTGGTGTTTCTTCTGGCAGACTTTGCCTTTGCCATTTTTCTTGGCTGCTTGTGCTCTCATCCACTGCTTAATGGTGTGATTGTGTGGGCTGACACAGATTCTCCTGCGTTTGATGTGAAGGCTGCCAAGAAGGGAAGAAAAGTCATCACTAACAGAAAGTACAAATGGACAAAAAGTTAGTGGCTCATAAGCAGCCCCCACTTTGGGGGACTGTAATCTCAGGGACTGGATCCTAAAACCGAGGACCACAAGCTTACATCCTGACTGTGTGCACACTGCTGTCTGTGGTCTTCAGACAGCTGCAAGGAGCCTTAAAAGAAGAAGAGGAGGAGTTGGGTGAGGATAACGAGGAAGAGGAGGAGGAGAAAAGAAAGAAGGAAAAATAAAGAGAAGGAAGAAGATGGGGAGCAGGAGTAGGGGGAAAGGAGAAAAAAGAATCAGAAAAACGGAAGGAAAACAATTCTCTTCCCTGCCTAAGCTTCACCCAACAAAACCAACTCACACTCAGCATCCATCTCAAACACGTTCTTCTCTGCAAGGGTTTCCTGGGTCCTCTCAGCTATATACCCTGATTTCTTCCCTGTGAGTCTTCATGGTGAGAGTTACCTCTCTGGTGGCACTTATTTCACTGTCTTTGATTTGAGTTCTGATCTCATGACTCCTACTGAAGTTTTGGCCCTTCAGGGAGGAACAGTCCAGGCATGTTCCTCATATATAAATATATACATATATATAAATAAATCTATAGAGGGATCATATATATACATTTATTTAGATTAATGAAACAATTTTATTTAGGAAGAAGTGTTTGCTCATTTAGTGGACCTTTGTTTTATTTATTTATTTATATTCAATGCTGAGAATCGAACCCAGTTCCTCACACATACTATGCAAGCATTCTACCACTGAACCACAACCCAGCCACCCCCCAGGTGTATTTCTGAAAAGACCTTATTCACAGTAGGAACCCTGTCACTCACTTCGTGTATAAAGTGAAAATTGTTTAAAATACAGACAGTCTGGTTTTGTTTTCAACAAAACAGTCAACTAAAATATTTTAGGCCTTTGTTAAACTTCACTGTTACGTGGTTCTACATCACGGCTCAGAATTTGTGTTCATTTTCATTTTTCTATATGAAATTTTGAGATTGAGGTGGGAGAACCCTCAGGCAGCAATTGTAATTTCTGGTAATTAAAAGTTCTTGTTACAAAAAATAGTGCAACCTTTAATCCTCCATCAGGTGCCAGGCAGCTCTGATGAAATGTTACAAATCCTGCTGTCTCTACATGTATATATTTCTTTTCTTTTCTTTTCTTTTTAATAAGCACTCTACTGACTAAGCTATATTCTCAGCCCTGATCTGTAATCTTTTTTTTTAATATTTTATTTACATTTTAGTTTTCGGCAGACACAACATCTTTGTTTGTATGTGGTGCTGAGGATCGAACCCGGGTCGCACCATGCCAGGCGAGCGTGCTACCACTTGAGCCACATCCCCAGCCCCCATGTATATATTTCTGTGTCTTGATAAATCGAGTCCCTTGGACGTGTTATTCAGCGAGGAATGTGGGAGTTAGAGAATAGGCTGCTGTTTCTCCAGATGTCCCAAGTTGCACTCTCAAACAAGGTCGGGAAAGTGGGGAAAGGTGTAATGAGCATTAGTATGATAAAGCCAGCCTGTGGGGGGTGTCTAAAGAGGATAATATGTTCCCTAACTGTATTAGACTGAGAGGGTTTCAAAGAAAAGCTGATTCTCACTATGGTTAATTGATTTGCTGTTATAGGAGAAAAGATGCTGTAGCATTGCTGTGAAGGAAGAAAAAAAAAAAAAAAGAAAAGAAAACTAGTTGAAGCTCCTACTCCTTCCAAAGACTCTTACTGACACCTTTCCCTGTGGTGTCAGAAGGAACCAGAGTAAAGACTTCATTGACATCTCTGGTAACACATGAGAAAATTAGGACTCAGTTCTGTGAATGAAGTAAGATGTGCTGAGCTTCAGGTTGTAGGCTTGGTACTGGGGAAGAAGGAGAAAACAGAGTGGGGGCAGGGGATAGGCAGGAGGCATGCAGACAGGTGGAGGGAAAACAGGTAGCAGCTCCCATGTGGGATCCTTTTTAAGGCCTGCCTGTATTTCAAGGGGCGGAGGGAGGGGGAGAATCAAGCTTCCAGAACACAGCTCCCAAATCTGAGATGCTGTGATGCTTAGAAGTCTGAAGTGTAACAACTGGTAAAACTCCATTTGTATCCTGTGTGCTTTCTGTCAGGACAAAAAGAAATGGGTGATGTTGGAAAAGGAGGCAGCCTATTCCACACTCTTCCCCATACCCCTAACTCCATCATTTCCTCACAGGTGCCTACCCATCCCATTGTGAATTTCTAGGGTAAGAGTTTTGACTCTAAGAAACCATTAGCTTGATCCACTGATTCTTTTCTTCACTGAAGTGTAGTTAGAAACAGTCCAATGGACCAGTCCTGCCATGGAGAGTATACCTAGGATTGTGCCCTAAACTTTATTTCTTCACACATTCCTCTAAATGCAATGGCCCTTTACAACCACTTCTGAAAAACCTAGATAACTTTATTTAATTATCCAAAAATTTCTCCCAACTGATAACCTCTATAGAAATCAAGAAACCTCAACTCTCTGCTTGAGATAACAATTTCCATTGTATTTATGTTCAGAAATAGCTTGAAGCTCTTTAATGAAGTCTCTGTAGAGGGGTTTAAGCAAGCAAACTGCTCTCTTAGGCATCAAAAGCTACAATGATCATTTATAGACCTGAAAACAAATGAACTCTTCCCAGGCAGAAAAGGAAAAGAAACCCAGTGAGTTCACTGTAAATCAATTTATATTAATTAATTGTGATTTATATTTCTAGTATGAGCAATCTTTTCTGTATCTTAAACATTTGCCTCTAACCTTGAAATCTTTGAACATAGTCAAGGTTAAGGGACTATATTTTAGTTAAGTAATGATATATTCTATAGTATATTATTGAAAAACAAGAATATCCTTATGTTGAATTTCAGAAAATACAACAAGGAAGCTCTATAATTTATGACTAAAAAGTATATGAGTCAAAATTTCATTTCACTTGAGGCTTGGTCCCAACTGCTCTATATTTTTTTAGCTTTCTTATCAGCACAGAGAAGTCAATTTACAAATTTTTGCTTGAATAAAGTAAATATTTTTAGATCCAGTTAATGGCTTTATAGTTTCCTTTGAATTAAAGTCTAATTCTTTTAAAAAGGTAGACTCAAGCTGGGATTGTAGCTCAGTGGTATCGTGCTTGCCTAGCGTGTGTGAGGCACTGGGTTCGATTCTCAGCACCACATACAAATAAACAAATAAGTAAAATAAGGTCTATCAACAACTAAAAAAAAAGTATTTTTTTTAAAGTAGACTCATCTTTCTTTTCTACTTTTCCTTGTCAAAATGAGATTGACGTTATTTTTGCTCTTATGCCTTTCAGATCTCTGATACCTGCTTCTCCCAAAGAAAATATCTCTGAAAATTCTGTTAACAATGGGGTGCTCTGGCAATTCCCAGTCTTTTAGTCTTAAAACCACAGGAACTTCCTCTGGATTCTCTAAGCCTTCCTGGAGTCCCTTGTAAAAGTCCTCACAGCTCCTTTAGTCCAAGGTGCTGAATACCAGAGAGGGAGACGAAATCGAGAGCAGCTGAAAATGGTGTTTCTAAGGGCAGCCAGAGCAGCGCCTCAGGCAGATTTAGTTCCTGTGTGAACCCTACAAAAACATCCAGATGATTCCAATTAACTAGAGCATGGACTGTGAATCACCCATGAATTTTTCACTCTCCTACTATTACCAACAGTAGCTATTAAGATTAAAGACTGAGGGAATCTTGGCCAAGCAATACTAAAGAGATTTTTCAGACAAGTTGGGAACTTGAAGCACCTCTCAGAATGCACCTCATTACTATGCATTATTTCCAGGATTACCCCAGGTTATGTTGACTCCCAGTGACTAAATCATCTGAGCTGATGGAGCCAAGTAATGGTGGAACTGAGAAAGTGCTGGAGAGTTAGTTCTCTGTCCTCTCGCTTCTCCCACAAAGACACTAATGCTTATTAAAAAGTTTGTACCAATAATTGTCTCCTCCCCAAAACCTGATCCCAAGTATAGTTTTTAACTTTATTAGATCTCAGATCCTATAATTAATTAATAATTAATAATCTAATAAGACCTATGGATCTTCTGCCCAGAAGCGTGTTCAGAGGTTTATACACAATTCCCAGGAGGTCATAGCCCCATGACCTGAAGAAATTAATACGTACTTTACAAACTCTTCGCCTGTTAAGAAACTTTGTCTTAGAGTAGTGTCTCTTAAAGTTGGATAGTGAATAGATTCCTCTAAAAGGGGAAAAAACATATCTGCAATCCATAGATTATTCAAATCATTGGAGATGGTCTGCAGAACCCAGCTGGACACATTGTCTCCCAGAGACTCAAGGAGGGCCGAGCCCACAGTGTCACTGCTGCATCCCCAGCACATGGAATGATACTTAGTACATAACTGCTGATCAATAAATAGTTATTGGACTTGATGAAATAAGGATGTTCCTGAGTGACTCAGGAGCTCAGGCATAAGTAATGCAGATATTTATAGACCAAAGAAAGGGATACCAAATGGCTCACTATCATTACCTAAAGCCGCAGATGGTGTGAAATCTAGAATATCGGGGAGATGCCCCACACCTGAATGCAATGGAGTTTGGGAGAATCATTTATGGTTAGTCCACTATTCTTTTTGAGTGACTTTGGAGATATGTAGTGTTCTGAACCAAGAGAACTAGGTACACATCTCATTTTTGCCATTCCCTAGCTGTAAGATGTCAGGTGAACATGCCCTTCCAATCAAAGCTTTCTCCTGAATGTGACAGCAATATAATGTATGCCTTCCTCCAAGCATTCTTGTCAGAACTCAGATTTGCTAAATACCAATGTCGTTCAGGTTTCAAAGCCTCTTTAGAGGCTTTGAAGTTAAGTACAGATACATCTAAAGTTTTTAATAACTGAGCCATGGTGGGATGGGAAGGGTAGGAGCAGTAGGAGGGTTCACATGAGCCAACGCCCCACCCCAAATAAAAACCAGAGCAGAGGCTGGAGATGTAGCTCAGTGGTGAGTATCTGCCTAATATGCCCAAGGCCCTGGGTTCACAGTACCATTAAAGAAAAGAAAAACAACAAACAAAAATAGAAAAGGACATTTGTAACTGGAGCACATGGCAGCACTTGCGACAGGTACAGACATTGCCACACTGCTTTCTGAACCTTATAAGTACACTCCTTATTTGGAGAGTGAAAATAACAGCAGCTCAGATACAGCTAAAGCCATGATACATAACAGAATTGCCTTTTGTTTGCTGTTTTGTTTTATTGTTCAGAATCTCTTGTTTTGCTGAGGAAAGTTGTGAATATTTTCTGGCCACAAAGGGCATTGAGCCCTAGCCCAGCACTGTAACAGAAAGAGCTAAGCTGGAGTTCCAGTGTAAGGCTGAGGACATTCCTGTACAGAAAGACTGTGCATTTACTCCAGGGAACCTGGCGCTAAAAGGACAGAATATTTACTCTTCCTTTGTTTGGAAGGATATTTAAGTGCAACATATCAAGTAAAGCCTTTCAATCTATTGTTACTTGGCCAGGGAAATAATCAGCATGAAGATAAACCTGCTGACGGTTTCACTCACATGACAGCTGCCAAGTCACAGTCCCCATCAGCTCTCTGGATGCGACATGAATTCACCCTTTCCAGAAGTCTTCTGGAAATGTGATGTGAAACCTCAGTGCAACAGCTGGAAGCAATGGGAAGTATGGCTAAAAGAAGAAAAGAAAGGAAATATCACATCTTACGGTTCACAGAACCCTGACACAGTTCTCATCTTAAAGATTCCATACAGTCTTTAATCCTCTCAAGCAAGGGCAAACAGGGCTTCATGAACTCAAACAGGGACAGGATGCAGCTCTAGCTTCTGGAACTTAAACTGCATTTGTGGGAGATAAAAAATAAATTTAGGCAAAGGGACAAATCAAGTGAAGGAGATGAAAAAAGCTGTAGCCAAAGGGGTTGCAGGCTGACTTGATCAGAGATAAAAAGTGAAGTTAATGGTGTCCCACACGATGCAGTTTGGAAGAGAGAGACCACATGGATCCCTGGAATATTCTGAGTTTCCAAAAAGGGAAGGATGAAAGACGTGGCTGAATGTTAAAGGATTTGGAAAGGTGGAGAAAAATGGGAGACTTGTGCAGACTAAGAGAAATGTGTGGTTAAGAGTTCTGAGGCAGAAAAGCCCAAGGCACATTTAGGGTATGGACTAAAATAGACCATGTTTCCTAAATTGAGTAGCTAGAAAGGTGAGTGATGGGAGATAAGGTTCAAAAGACACTGAGGTGAGGCCACATAACTGAGGCTACGAATGTCAGCATAAAGAGGCTTGTCTTTTATAAAAAGGGGATTCAAAGTTTGAGAAAGGGAGAGTGTTTAGGAAAATCCATCTTTTAGCTATAAGCAAGATGGATTGAAGTAGAGAGTGAGTAGAGCAGAAGGTGAGGCTAGAAGGAGATTTTGTCACATAGATGTAAGGTATTTATAGCATAAATATGAAAAGAAATATGATTTCCAAACTAAAATATGTATTTACAAACTCCTATATGCCATGTGACACAGTATTCTCCTGTGCATCCCATTCCACCAATTGGGTAGTGACTAAAATAAATTATAAATTACAGTCAACAGTGACTGCAGGTGGTAGCCTCTTACAGGACAGAAGTTCGTTCTTGAATTGGGGATTAAAAGAAACACCTCTTTTAATTGGGCAGGCCCAAGATGACTATATTTAGGCTCCCTTGTTGAGGATAACAGCAGGCTATGTTTTCAGTGTGTAGTCAAAGTCATGAACACCCTGATTCAGTATATGTATGTATATATATATATATATATATATATATATATATATATATATACACACACACACACACACACACACACACACACTCAAGATCATAAACATTTACTTGTGAGCACACACCCACTAATGTAACCAGTTGGCAATGTGCCTTCTTTGGCCTGCATTAAAAAAAAAAAAAAGCCTATGGAAATGGCTCAGGGGGCTAAATGGACCTGGCAAAGTGGTGCTAAATGAAACTGGGGCAAAAATGGGACTGAAGCTGGAGTGTGGGGGCTGCTACTGGCTCTGAATAAAGAATGTTTACTCTCCCAACTGCATCTTGCATCTTCCACTGCCAAGATCCTGAATGTGTTTCCCAGGTTGGAACCTCCACCCAACAACTTCTCAGTGTTAGCTCTAAGCAATGGGAGTCCTTGGGAGAAGGGGTTCTCTATCTATGTCTTATCCACATGTAAACATCTGGCCTACTTACAGTTTTGGAGAAGAAAATGAGTTGGCTATGAAATGTAAAATATCTATGTCACTTCCTAGTTATCAAAATTTTTGGTTACCATTCATTAAATCACTTATTCATCTAATTATTTGACAAATGTTTATTGAGCAGTTAAAATGTTTTAGGCAAAAACTAGTCGCTGGGGTGATACAAAAATAAATAATATGTTCCTATTCTCAAGAGGCTGTAGTAGAGGAGACAGATTTGTAATTAAATGCTTAGGATGCAATCCTATTGGCTCATGTAATTATACTTCTGGAATTCACACAAGTTATAAAGACAAGTGCACAGCTGTTTACTATAAAAAACAGCAGAGAATGTCTAAATGTCTATCAAAAAAAGTAAAAAACTGTTGCAACAAAGAAGTTCATTGCATACTGATAAAAGGGTCATATTAACTTTATTTTAGTCCACTTTCAATAGTGGATAAATCATGTAGGCAGAAAGTCAATAAGGAAACCACTAACTTGAACAACATTAAAGACTAAATGAACTGAGCATTGTGGCATATGTCTATAATCCCAGCAACTCAGGAATCTGAGGTAGGAGGATTGCAGATTCAAGGCCAGCCTCAGCAACTTAGTGAGACCCTGTCTCAAAATAAAATAAGGGCTGGAAATGTAACTCAGTGGTTGAGAGTTCCTGGGTTTAACCTCCATCCAGTACTGCAGAAAAAAGAAGAAAAAAAAAGAAGTGATTGTCACATTAGTAAAATATCATCAGTATTTATTTTCTGCCCTCATTGTACCTGTCCTGGGGTGCTTACAATGAGAAGACAGCCTTCTAGCCTTATCTTACTGGACCTTCCTACTTCATTTGACAGTTACCCATTCCTTCCTTGAAAATTTCCATAAACCTTGTTTACTAATCTCTCCTAATTCTCCCAATACTGAGAAATTATTTTCTCTGCCTCTTGAACACCTTCTCCTTTGCTCTGTCCCAAATACTTATCATTCTCAAAGTTCCATCCCTAACATACACTCTTTTCTTTCTACATCTTCTCTTGCTTTATTTTTTAATTAATCTTTATTTATATATGACAGCGGAATGCAGTACAATTCTTATTACACATATAGAGCACAATTTTTCATATCTCTGGTTGTATACAAAGTATATTTACACCAATTTGCGTCTTCATACGTGTACTTTGGATAATAATGTCCATCACATTCCACCATCATTTCTAACCCCATGTTCTCTTACTTTAAATCACTACTAGTCAGTATCTGCAAATCATCTGCCAACCTCTACTCAAATATTCTGCCACATATCTAACTGCCTTGAAAATGTACTTGGATATCCCACAATAATCCTTCCTGAAGATTTCATCTCCTATCACTTTTAATCTACTTCCTTTTTCCTTTTCTCTTCTCATGTAATCACCCTGTACCATTACCTAAGTCAGAAACCCATGGATCATTCCATCTTCCTCCTGCACTCCATGTAGCCAGCTATACATTCCTTGACATTTCTTTGATCTGTCTTCTCTCCATCCCTGTTCCAACTACTCTTCATGAGCATGTGAGTTGGCTTCTGGACTACTGAGCTTACATTTATCTTATTCCAATCTTTCCTTTTCCCATTTGAAAATTTGAAATTGCCAGAAAAGCTCTTGGATAGAGAGAATAGTTCTTTAGGGTCCCTACCAGAGGTTTATAAAACCCCATTTGAGAAGTCCTACCACACTCTGCTTTCCTATACAGTTAAGTCTTTAATTACATCTGACTGCCTTGACTACTCCACAAGACATCTTTGGATCCCACCACATAGCACAGTGCCTGGCATAGTAGTAAACAAGTGTTTCTTGAGAAACATAAAATAGTTTTATATTAATGTTTCATTTTATATTTTTAAAGGCTTTTAATATAATTAAAATATTTTATTTTTTAAAGAAGATTCTCAGTTTGGGGGCAAGGTGATTTTCTAAAATCACAGAATGTTTTCAATAACACCATCCTTCCATATTCAAACAATTAGGAGTCAACTCAGTATGATAAATTGTTTGTCAATTTAATATTTTTAGCTAAAAATATTAAATACTAATCATATCTGATTAAAATCATTACTGTTTGTCTTACTCTTATGGTTTTATTTCTATTGATTCTGTTGGTTTGGGACATTGTCATTATTGTTTCCAGCATAAAATTCTATTATTAAATGTATGAGTGCTGTGCCAGAAATTCTGGTCCCTGTTCTAGTTCTGAGATCCTATTTTGGTCACTAGAGGGCTCTAAAGATGTCTCTGTGCTCCAAACCTGAAGCACCAAGCAACCACATTTGTGATACAAAAGTTAGATTCTGGATTTTAAGAAAAGGATTCTATTACTGTGGAGAGGTGACACAGCTTCCTCTCTTATTTGGATGTATTGTACAGTATCTTGTTACTCAAAGTGTGATTCCCCGAGCTGCAGTTGAGACAGCCCCTGGGATCCTAATAGTGGAGTGAAAAGCACCATCACATAAAACACAGCCACACAGAAACACAGTCAAGAAATGTGCGTGCCATTGATGGAAAAAGGATTTACTCAGCTGAGGGCCGTGTCTCACGGTTATGGGTGCAGTTTTAAAAGGGCAATAAATAAATCCACATAATGTTCAGAATTAGTTGATTGGAAACACATCTGCCCATTTTGGTGGACTTCATACCTTAGTGCAGTCACATCATGCTGTGGATGCCAACAGAGGTGCTCACCACTGTAGAGGTGCTCACCGCTGTCACTGAGTGGACAGTAGGCCTCACCAATCCATGATGTATGAAATAGCTATGCCCAAATGAAGTCCTCCAAGGTACTTTCTGGAACCCTGGAATAATGTTTGGGAAATGGAGAATGGGTGGAGGGTTTCTTTTAACTTAAGATAAAGAGAAACCTCCTCTTCACTCTTCATTCTTACAGCATAGACACTAGAGGGGTCAAGGGTGGTATTTAAAAGGTTTGGATAATTCTGTGCCAAAGACATCCTCAGAGGCTTTACAGAATACTACTTAAGCATGTAGAGGCAAACAACCAGGTTTAAATCCTGGCTCTGTCACTTTTTAGCTGATCTTGGGTGAGTTACTTACATATTTAATTCTGTTTTAGTTCTTTTATCTATAATATGGAGATGGTAGTAGCACCTATCTCATGAGGCTGTTATAAAGACTGTCTGTGTTTATACATTCAAGTGCTTAGAACAGCAGACAAATAGTAAACAAGAAATGGGAAAATTATACTTTTACTTTTGGTGCTGGGAATTGAACCCAGGGCCTGGATCATGTTAAGAATATGCTCTACCACTGAGATGCACCCCAACCATACTTTTTTGGTTATCTTAATTTTAAAAACTAGCAAGAAATAGAATCTTGTGGGAGGGAACTAACATTCATTGAGAACCTATTATGTCTAGACACTTGTACGCATTATCTCATTTAATCATGAGACTAACTAGGTAAGAGAGGCATTTTTCTTCCTGTTTTACAGATAAGGAAACTAGAGCTCAGAGAGATTAAGTACTTTCTCAAATCTATGTGGGTAAAATTCTAACTTACTCTTTTGGAATCAAAAGCCTACAATTTCCCCATACACCAGCACTTCTCAAATGGGGTTTTATAAACCTCTGGTAGGGACCCTAAAGAACTATTCTCTCTATCCAAGAACTTTTCTGGCAATTTCAAATTTTCAATATGTCATCTCAATGATAATCTTTAAACAGATATGCTCTGGATCTCCTGGAGGATTGGCTCAAGAGTGCACTTTGAGGACATTTGAAGATTACCTTATGTTCACGATGGTGTAGTTACAAGTGCCATACCATAACTGTCTCAGGCCAGTCCGAAAAGAACAGTGAACCTCACAATGCACTCATGCTAAGGGACAGCCAAATTACATCATCATGGTTCAAACAGAAAAAGGAAAAGGTAGAACAAGCACTTCTGGCTCTGTACCTGGTGGGGTATACATTGGACTCAAGCTCAAAATCTGCCCCCAAGCATTGGGCCATAGTCACATTTGGAATAGTGATTTCAATTTCAGCCATACCCTAACTGTTGTGTCGAACTAATGTCATTATATTGAAATCTCACCTTTTAGTTGTGTTTTGATTTAAATTATAAATTTTGCTTTTATAGCTGCAGAAGAGATTTATAATTGCACAAGAGACTTATACCTGGTTTTATGCTATACATCAAGTAAAATAATTCAAAAGTCAACACTGAGAGTGAAGAGGAGGTTTCTCTTAAAGGGGGCCCATACATACTCATATTTGAGAAGATTTCTATTGCATCACACTGCTTTTCCAGACATAGAAAAGGACATTTAAAAAACACCCAGAGCTATATTATAGATACAATTGACTTCTGGAGCAAAAATATATACACTTAACCTAGCAATGACATAGGATTCAGAAAATGCAAGATGGCATGACTGGAGAGAAACTGAAGGAAGAAGGCATATCATTAGCTGATCCTATCAGATCTCTGAGGAAGCAGTGCTGGAGAAGGGAACTGTGTAAAACAACGTTTAAGCACAAATGTATATTCATGGTAACCCTCCCTAGTGAATGTCTGTGACAAGTCAGAGATTTGATTTTCTTTTAGGATGCTAGCAGCAAGCCTCAAGCAAGTATCCGTGTGATTCAGGAGATATTCTAATAGCTTTGAGAAAGTAGGTTGTTAGTAGGAAGACAATTCAGGACTGAATGAAGCAAAATCACCCAACTTACATCTGCTGGACAAAATTGGAGACTTAGTCTTCATGTACAAGAAAAACAGGCAGTTCTATAAAACCTAGATTGTAGATTTAAATCATCTGGCTCAGGGCCACTGAAATTGGATGATAAACATGTTTATGGAGTCAGTATTGAGTTCTCAGGGCCAACAACCACATCAGCAGATGTGGAGTGTACCCTCCCTTTGGCTAGAATACAAGGCTTTTAATTATGAATAAAGTCAATGGCTTCCTGATTGATTGGTGTAGAACACTTTGGGAACGCCAACTACTGAAGCATCATAAGATAGCCTTTTAAGACACCATTAAGATCATGGAACAGCTTTGTGCCTAAAAGAATAAAATGTGTTCTCCAAAGTCCCACACTGACACAGGTCATTTCCTTATCCTGACTTCCAACTTGCAATAACTATCACAGCCACCAATCTCCTTCCCTGGGCTGCTGAGTATCCCTCATGTCCCGCTACCCCTCCTTACCTGGTCTTCCACCCCCTCCCTGGAACCTGAATTACTTAGTGCCACCCACAGGGGACCTGGCATGTGCACACATGTACACACACACACACACACACACACTTGAATGAAAGTTTGCTAAGGAGGGCGGTGGTGTTCCCTCTCTCAGTTCTGCAACCGTTCTCAGACCTATCTGTATTTTAACCTGGCATTACATATATTTCAAAGGCAGACGTTGACACTTCTCAGACAATGTGATTTTCCTCTGTTCCAAACTGCCTTAGGTAAGCATCAAGACTGAAACTCACTGTTAACACCTGTTGTACCTTTAAACACATCTGCATCTTGATGTCTGCTCCCTGCTCCCCCACTACCCCCACCAGGACTCAGTCCCTTGTGAGGCTTGGTTCTGGGTAAGGCAGAGCCTCCCTCATTCCCCTCTGCCTGCTGTGGCCTGTCTCCCTTTCCTGTGGGAAGGCGACTGTGGGGACAGCTGGAAATAGATCTGGAAGCTGGAATGGAGCACATCTACATTCCATAGCCTCAGTGAAAAAAAAAAAAAGGAGTTGGTGGAGTTGCCAAAAACTAGGAGTAAAACCTGTTCAGATAGACCTTTGAGAAACCATGAAAGATCTAATATTTCAATGGCCAACTCCTCTGAAAAAATGTTATGGAAACAAAATGACAAACTTTTGTTCATTTTGATAAAATATATTGATAGAAATCAAGAGAGTATCCAGGTTATTTAAGCCTGGCATGTTGATGAATTATATTGAGGACCCTAAACAAAGGCCCACAGGGACCAGGCAGTTAATGTGACATGGAGGAGAGGGACAGAGGTATTCAGAGGGAAAAAGGACAGAACCTCTTACTGTTCTTCCAGGGTATGTGGAACTATTGTTCCCAGATCTGATATTTCTTTCTTTTTCTTTTCTTTTTTTTTTCCTGGCTGAGGTTGGAACCCAGAGCCCTGTTCATGCTAGGCAAATACCTTACCACTGAGCTACAGCCCTTATCTGATTTTTAAGGAAAGCTCTAAATTTAATATGTGTGTATGTATATACTTGTGCATGCATGTGAAATCTGTTTTAAAATGTTGGCTCAGCTTTATAAAAAGCAGACCAAACACAATTTATATTCCACCTCTGCTGTAGATTCAGAGAATTTGTTCAGGGTAAAGTTTAAGAAAAGACAACTGGAAAAGAGACATCGGCTAAGTACCAAGTTCCAATATACTTAGGGTTTCCTAAATAATGTAGTGAATGCTACCCTAGTCCAAATGCAGTTACGATTCCCACATTTATGCTAGCAACTCAACAACTTAAATTCTCTTTGATATAATTTGCATGGTTCAATTTCCTTCCTCCTTCTTGCCCTTTTTAAGGTCAGAGTGAAGTTTCAGTTTTTAGTGTCCACAGGGCTAACTTGGCTCAGGAAATGAACAGCTTACCTAACCCTGACTGAGTCAATTCAATCTGTCTTTTCCTCTAGGAACACTTGTATTCAGACAGTTTTTCGGGTTGGGGCAAGGAGGGAGACAGATGAACAATAGTGTCTTCACTTCAACCTCTAACTAGAAATATTCCCTGAGACACTGTTGTCAGAAAGGGAACCACAGCTCTAAGCTGTACCCACAGGGAAGGAGTCATCCTCCAGGTGGCAGATTCCTTATATTCCTGTTAAAATGAGGTTTCTTCCTGAAATTTCTTGGAGATCTAGAATTTAAACCTATGCCATTCTCTCATAGATGATCAGAAATCATTGAAAAATTCCTGCCTGAAGAGACAGAGATACCTGCCTCCCTCACTCCTTCCACTACCACTTTGGGAGGCACCTACCTCTCACAAGAGGCCCAAGTGGCTGGGGCCCGCCACTCACCTTCAGAGTTTCTAAGAGCGACACAGACAGCCAAGGTCATGAGGGTGAGTCCTGTCTGCTGCATTTCTCCCTGATCCACTGGCTGGGACAGCACCGCAGGAGAGGCTGTGAGATCAGGAAATAAAGCTAAAGGTGTCCTCAGGTGCAGAGAAAGAGCCGGTAAGCCAGGTAGCCCCGCCCTGGGAGGTGCTCAGGGCATCTGTTGCCATGTTTCTTTTCTTACACGACTAGGTGCCTGCCTGAATTGTCAAGCTCCCAAACTAATGTGTGTTCACATTGCCTGGGGGTCAGAGGACATCAGTGGCCATCTGGCATTTGGCAAGATCCCTGTAAATTGTGAATATGCATCAGAATCATTTGGGAACCATTAAAAAAAAATAGCAATCTACGTGAGTGCCCTTCCCATGCATACACCTATAAATCAGATTCTGAGGTAGGGTACCAGCCATTTGAATTTTATAAAATCTCCATAGCTGATTTTGATGGACACTTCTGTTGAGAACCACTTGCCTACAAGGAATTGGTTTTTAGTAGCTTGAGACCAGGAGTTTCTGGGGACAAGGGTAACAAGTCATAAAAAAGTTATCTCTGTGGAAAGATATGGAAAAATTCTGCCTCCCTCTGTCTTGGTTCACAGCCAGTTTGTTTCCAGTGAAGATTTTAGCTGATTTCTGAGAAGGCTGAGGCAGGTACAGGACAGCACATGTAGAAAAGAGCCCCAAGGCAGCATAGGATCATGGTTCTAGATCAGCTTTCCTGCATATCAGCTTCATGAAGCCATGTGTTCTAACACTGCCTCGTCTGCTACTTAGTGGTATAATCCCAGGAAATATAATACTTTTCTATAAGTAGCAGGTCAGTCTGGATGACCTCGGAAGTTATACCATGCTTCCTCTAGAACTGTGCTGTTCCACTAGTCGACATATGGCTCTTGAGCCCCTGAAATGTGGCTAACTCATATTCAGATGTATCATAGGTATAAAATACCTATCAGATTTAAAAGACTGAATATGTAAAAATAAGACAAATTATCTCATTAATAATTTATGTATTGACTACATGTAATGTTTTTGGACATATTGGGTTAAATAAAATATATTTTTAAAATCAATTCACCAGTTTCTTCTTTACGTTTTAAAATTACTGCAATGGTTCTAATATTTTTGTTCCTTCTGAAACTCATGTGGAAACTTAGTCCTCATTGCAACAGTGTTGAGAGGTTGGGAGGTGTTTAGGTCATGAGGGTGGAGCCTTCTGAATGGAAAAACACCCCAAGAAAGAGGACGGGTTGGGTCTCTTCTGTCATGTGAGGACACAGTATTGCTCCTCTCCAAAGGATGAAGCAATAAGGCACCATCTGGGAAAGAGAGGCTGAACCTGTCAACACCTTGACTTGGCACTACCCAGCTCTATAATGCTACCGAAGAAATTCTGTTCATTAAATTACCCAGTCTTAGGTGTTCTGCCATAGCAGCACAAAATGGACTAAGACAACTATATATGCAATGTAAACCCAGAATATTTTAAATTACACGTGTACATCACATATCTACATTGGGCACTGCTGCTTTAGAATGAAATTAAAGGTGATTATTGGATAATAGGAGTCACTATTAATCCAACAGGACAAAATTTACACAGATTTAATAGGGGACTGACAAGAAAACTGGAACCCTTGTGAGCCTAGGATTATACAGACCCTCTACCCTCCAGGGTATACCTCTCATTTGCTTCTTTATTTGATCGATTGACTTCTCTTTTATTGTTGTGTGTTTCTTCTGCTATGAAATGCCACTGTGGCCCTGCTGGGAAGAAGGCATTGGGGACAGAATCGAGGAATATGTGTAGTATAGTATAGTATAGTATAGTAGTATAGTATGTGTCTCTCTCTCTCTCTCTCTCACTACTTCCTGAGGGCTTTGGAGTGAGATGGTGTGTTGAGGGCCACAGCCGAGTCGGGATGATGCATGGCATTTTTGCCAGAAGTAGTGGTTGAGAGGTGACGCCAGCGAGCCATTAAGATGATGACTTTTGAGTTCTCGCAGGGATTCCTGAAGAGTTGGTGTTGGTTGGTGAAGTTCGGTGGAGGGATTTCCGGTTGGTGTGTGGTGTGTGCCTGGAGGAGCCGCGTGGGTAGCGTTCGGGAGAGTTCCCGGGGAGTGTGCTGGTGGAGTTTTGAAATAAAGTTTGTTCCTGCTTGAGTGGCTCATGATTTGTGCCCAGGTACACTGCGGCAATGGTGAATAGGGGCTACTGGAGGGCAGTTGGCATAGCATGTAGATACATGAGTTACTATCATTAGAATCATAGCCTTGGGGCAGGTATTGTCACCCTCTTATTAAAAAAGAAAAACTGACACCCAAAAGCAGAAGCTTTTAAGCCACAAAATAACCCTACGAACCAAGATATGAATGAAAGGAATACTGAGCAGATTAGTTTTAATGAAGGTGAGGGGGAAATTGAATCGTGGGATTTTTGTCTGGAGAGAATGTGGTACAAGCTATGATTATGGGGTACACATGTCTGTGTGTGAGAAGGGTACTCAATAGGCAGGCATGGACCAGCATTAAGTAGGAAAGAGCCCCCAAAGGGCTGGCATATATTAGGCAGCTTTGTGTTAGTACAACAAAATACCTGAGACAGTTAACTTGTAAAGAGAAAAAGGTTATTTAGCTCATAGTTTTGGAGGTTCAAGGGCATGGCATTGGCATTTCAGGTCTCAACTGTGAAACATTATGGTGGAGGTGTGTGTGTGTGTGTGTGTGTGTGTGTGTAAAAGGAAATGGAGGAGAGACTGGCATCCCACAGCTCCTTTTCAGGGCACACCTCCAACAACCTAGGTACTTACATTTAGGACCCACCTCCCAAATTTCTGCCACTTCACAATCAGCACCACCCCAGAGACCAAGACTTTAATAACAGTGGATCTTTAGAGGATATTCAGACCACAACCAAACTATAGCTGATTCAGAACTTCCATTATTTAATTTTATTATTATTATTGATACCAAGGATTAAACCCAGAGGCGCTTTACCATTGAGTCACATCCCCAGCCTGTTTTATTTTTTATTTTGAGACAGGGTCTCATTAATTCGATTTGCGATCCTCCTGCCTCAGAATTCTAGGTTGCTGGGATTATTTAAATATTTTTAACTGGTCTTAGGGCTTCTATAAAAACAAATGAGAAGAAGACTGGGAAATATGGGACATTAGGGCCTACAGCAGAGTTAGAGGACAGAGACATAGAAGGAAACACTTTGAGGACAACCTAAAACTATTTATGTGGCTTCCTAATTTACATTGTGAAATGTCCCTTGCCAAGAACACGTGGATGTAACAATCTTTTGGAAATATTTTTTTTTCTTTACCAGGGAAAAATCAAATAGTTTAAAGAGAAGTAAAATGATGTGCATGAGCCTGGAAGACATTAGGTTTCATGAAGTAAATCAGACATAGAAAGACAAATACCACAAATACCATGTGGAAGCTAAAAAGTTGACTTCATAGAAGTGGAGAGTAGAATAGTGGTTACCAGACCCTGGGAAGGATAGGGGGAAGTGAGGCTGGAGAGAGGATGGCTAACAGGTATAGGGGTGCAGTTGGGTAGGATGTCATAGAGCACAGAAGAGTGACTATGATTGATGACAATTAATTCTATGTCTCAAAATAGCTAGTGAAAAGGGTTTTGAACATTCCCAACACAAAGAAATGATAAATGTTTGAGGTGATGGATATGCCAATTATTTTGATTTGATACAGTGTAGATACGTATTGAACGATCACACTGTACTCCACAAATATGTACACTATTATGTCAATTTAATACCTATGGATATGTATGTATGGATTTATATCTATATATACTTATGTATCTCTATATGTGTATCTTTAGACATATGTATAATAGAGACTTCAGCCTTTCATAAAAAATATCTGCTGCCATCCATGATTTGGGTAAAATGATCTGTTTGAATTAGGAGGCTGAAGAAGATTTCTAAAGAGTAGCTTTCACAAAATAAAAGTAAGACTGTAAAACTTCCTTGACCATCTGTCTTGAAAACTAGTATATGCCTTGTTCTCTGCTTTATGAGTGTTCCCATCATGCTGTTTCATAGGTGCCTATGTTATTTTATTGTGAATTTTAGCTTTGAATATTTGTCTCTTTAATATTTTTAAATTGATTTCTACCTTTTATTCTATGGTTCTTTTTGCTTGTATTTGCCTACTTGGCCATACTTTTTATTTGTAACATTTCTGAATAAATTTGTTGTAGTTATTTACATTTTAAAATGAGGAAAGACAACTCGTATATGTATGCACCGTTTGCAAGCTCATACCATTTAAATGTCCTAAGATGATGTCAATTTAATAAACCCTTTCCATAAATCCTTTGGTACTGAGAAGAAAGAACTTTTAACCTTTGTGATATCTGAGTTCTAGTTTATAGTTAGTGAATTCGTTAAAGCGGGACAGAGTCAAACAAGGGTATCACATTAAAAACTAGATTATAAATGTTTGTTTTAGTTGGCTATTTGCTGCTGTGACTAAAGGACACAACCAGCACAACTGTAAAGGAGGAAAAGTTTATTTGGGGGCTTATGGTTTCAGAGGTCTCAATCCATATACAGCGAGCTCCATTCCTCGCAGCTCGAGGTGAGGCAGGAACAACATGGCAGAATAATGTGGCAGAGGGAAGCAGCTCACACAGGGATCAGAAAGCAGAGAGAGAGGTCTTCACTTGCCAGATACAAATATATACCCCAAAGCCATGCCCCCAATTCCCACCTCCTCCAGCCACACGCTTCCACTTCAGTTAGCACTCAGTTAATCCCTATTAGGGGATTAATCCACTGATGAGGTTAAGATTCTCACAACCCAACCCAATCATTTCTCTTCTGAACCTTTGTGTGTGTGTGTGTGTGTGTGTGTGTTGCTGGGGATTGAACCCAGGGCCTTGTGCATGTGAGGCAAACACTCTACCAACTGAGCTCTGAACCTTCTTGCAAGGTCTCACATGTGAGCTTTTAGGGGATACCTCGTATCCAAACCATAACAATGATTTATGGCAGGCTGCTGAATTACAATTTAAGAAAAGAGTATGCTGTTATCTCCTGAATAAAAAATTATATTTCATTGTAGAAAATTTA